TGACATTGTCCGCATGTCCTTGTGTCGATTTCTTTCATTGCCGCTCCGTTCGTTCATGGGCCATGGCTCATATGTCGATGTGCACTTGTTCTCGCAGATAACGTCGCAAAGTGAATGACCAGCTGAAGTTTTATTTGCGCACTTTAAAACGCTTCGGACTAAAATGCTTGCTGTGACGCTTTTGTAGGGGTCTTCTTCTTTTTTTTGGAGTGTGCAAGTTTTGATTGCGCTTTAAGTAACTTTAAGTCGTCGATTGATTCACTGAAGCGCGGTGATGGTTAAGCAACTTCGCTAGCAGCCAAACTAACCACCGCTGGCAGGAACGCCAGGCAGCAGCGCAAGTCGAGCTTGAAAAGTTATCAATCGGGGAAATTGCTTTATACGAGTATCGAGTATTTACGCCAGCGCCGGTTGAGGTGCATTAGGCGGCATTGAACAGCGTGTGATGCCTGGAATTTATTTCGCGGCATCGAATACGAAACACTCACTAAAAGCAAAAATCAATAATCAGCGGCGACTGGCCGCAACACGCACCCAACCACACACTCTGTCAGGTGGAACCGCAAACACTCATGCACGGCAAACATTGGCGGAGTTTACATTTTGTCACGCGCAAACCGAAACGCAAAGTGTGCGCACATAATTGATTATCCTGGCGCTCGTCGACCACCCGCGCCCCCTTCCCCAGCCGTTCCACTTTAGTGCCAATATTTGTTAGTACACATAACAGTGACCCTTTGGCGGGTGCCTCCGTCCTAGGCGTTGCGGATACAATTTATACATATATGTTGAGCTTTGGCTGTGCGCCGTAGAACAGTTCTATTTACTTGTCGATTGGATGTAGCCTCACAGCCTCCGTGTCCTAGCCGAGTGCTGTTGTCCCCGAAGCATTCACTTAAATACATTTTGGCGGTAGGCATAGAAATAAATATATTGTGATTATTTATGCCGAATTCGATGAGCGGACATTACATATGTACATGTACATATCAGGCAAAACAATGGCACAGTGGACTTGCGGCGATGACACTGTTTTGGTGAAATGTCACGTTGATGAATGCAAAGCAACACACTCTGCTTCCACCTCCTTAATATTTTATCCTGCTGCGGTCGGTATGATTCATCTCCTAGTACATCTGTATACCCTGCGTTCTATATGAATTTAAGCAAGACAACCTGAACTGCGTTGTGAACTGGACTGCGAATTGCAGATTATTCGTCAAATTATTCTTAGGATCTAGTTGTTCCTGGAAAGCGAGCTAGGCTGGAAGCCAAAGGATAAGGATGGAATGCACAAGTTAAGGATAAGCATTGTGAAGCTGTTGGAGGTGGCGAAAAGAGCTTCCCTGATTGAAATAAGGGGAACACTTCAGTCGTTGCCACACTAGCGAATAGCGCAGCGCTAAACATTGTGAAATCTTCGGCGTCAGGGCAAGTGAGATTATTCACGGACGGATCAAAGTTGAATAAAAAACCACTTAAGAGGTGTCTTATGCGAGGAATGTAGCCGCTGTTTTGGCTGTGAAAATGCGATATACATCGATGGTGAGACAGCAATTAAGGCGCTTTGATCGTTGATGATGCGACAGAAAATTATGAGGGAGTATCCGTGATCCCTTTCAATCAGAAGGTCAGCTCAGCGATATCTTAGCAAAAGCTTTAGAATGCAAGGCGGATAAGTCATTCTGGTTAAGAGTAGATCAATAATGGTCCAAACATCTCTTAAATTCAAACAAAGCGCACGTCTCGAGATTGGAGGTAGTGCGATTAGATTCCATGCGATAAGGTTAAACAGCGCCCCAAACTCTTAATCTAACAGTTAAGACGATGAGATGAAATCATCTCAGCATCTGCTCCTTGGCTGTCCAGCCAACAACTCAGTGGCAGCGGCAGTGAAAGTTTTTCGAAATCAGCTGTTTTTTAGAAAGTGTGGTGTCCAATGAAGCGACTCACAATACAGCAGTGGCAGCTGGCAGTACTGCTCAGTTTAGCCCAAATTCTAAATTCACTGCCACTGCCTTCATCGCGGCAAACTTCGCATGTCGAATTTGACATAAATGAAACGCAGTCAACTTCTGTTTATGTCACTGGCACCTAAAATGCAACAACAAAATGTAAAGAAACAAAAGGCAGTGTCAAAAAAAGCAGTCACTGACAACGCCGTATTGGGTTTGCTGCGACAGTGACTGCCAATATTAGCAGTAACAGCTGATAAGTATGTACATATGTCTTTTTGCTCGCGCTGCACCAACAGTCGCTGTGACCGAGCGAGCAAAGCACTGGAGCACTATTCGAGAGATCTGAGGTTCGAATCTTCGGGCTGTGGGTTTTTTTATTTTATCTTATTTAATTTTTTTTCTGTAATTTAGATTTCTTTTCAGTTTTAGATTTTGTGGTTTAAAAACTTTATGCAGAATGAGTTCAGCTCAATAAAAAAATTTCCAAACAACACCACTCTGTCAGTGTCAAAATTTCTCAATGTTTACAAATGCATCAATGGCTTGATTTGGCCTTAAGACCTCTTCGCTAGCTAGTTCTTTCGATTGGTCTTTCGACGACTATAATCTTCCTCAAGTATTTCTTTACTATTCTCCGTAATTTCGCTTTGCTCGTTAAATCATCGCCAACAATTCAAGACGAATGAGCTGCAAGGTGAATGACTACTTTCGTCACGTAGTATGCTTAAACACCTAAATATATGCAATGGAATTTATTAAATTCTATCCAACAGCTTAGCATCACCCGCTATGTAGTTTAAGAACTTTCCAGTACCCCTTCTTCCAAGGGTTGTGTGGCCAGCTGCTGCCACTTTTACTGATTCATGGGTTCTAATTTATTAATACCGTCGCGGTGTCCATGCCACCGGCCCCTGTGCTTTTCCCTACAAATATTCAGTACATGAATCGGTATGTGTGTGTTTTAGCTTTTCAGTTAGGCCGTTGCAAAAAGCCCGTACGTACGTGTTTAATGCCTGTGTGTGTTGTGACTTAAACCTGCACGAAGTTGGCAGTCCAAGTAAACAAATTTGCATATGTATGTTACCCTACGAGGCAGTACATTCTGCCACACACACACACACAAACTTCGGAGTTCAAGTCGGAACTTGTGTGGTGCCTACGGTTCAACTGAGCTCTCTGAGATGGGTGGCTAGCAGTTCATTTCGTTGCCACTCATCGTCGACGTATGACTTGTATGTGTCTGAATGCGTGTGTTGGTGATTTATTAACAACAAAACTCTAGATTTAAGCAATTTGAATTAAGTTGTTCGACCATAAAGCGAGTCTATGCCAGCGTTTTGATGTGGTCACAGGCCGAGCGAGGCCAGCTTTCTGCCCTCGTTGCCACGTTGGGCAGACTGCTTAAGTGAGTCGCTTAGCTGACAAGCGGCCAGAAGGAAGATGAAGGCAGGATGTGGTCAATACAAGTTGCAAAGCATTGACCCACACATATAAATATGTATACATACATACGTATATGCGAAAATGGGGGTGACGATCAAGTTGCCGAGCTCCTGTGTTCCTATGGCTGTGGTTGATGCGGCGATGAGCTGCACTTGTGCGATGGAGTTGACTGGAGTTTCGCAGGCGAAAGTTCGAGCTTTGATGTTGCGGTCGAGTCTCGAAGAGAGTGAATTTGGTTTAAACATGCCCGTGGGAATTTTGACCGCTCCACACGGAGAGCAAGAGACTGAAGTAATTGTATATGTATTTAATCAAAGTGGAAACGAGCGTCCCTTGAAAAGCGGGCGTATTAAATTCAGAATAAATAGCCGAGCGGAAACTAGTGCAGTGATGTCCGAAACTTATTTTTGAATTTGTTTAGATCACTTAGTATGTCCTGCGAATAGGTTGTTACCATTTTTGCGACCGTTATTCGAAATAATTATCAGCGCAAAATGTTCGCTGTGGCACTCTGTGGCAAATGCTTGGAAATTTATGGATGTGCCCAGGTCTTTGTGTGCTTCTTGTCGATGAGCGTAATCTCTGCTGTCGCGCCTAATACTATACACTGCATATTTCATACTACAAATCAGTGAAAAGTTGGTGCTTCGGCCAAAGTCCTCTGTGACAAATGCCTCGAAGCTGTAATAAATAAACTGAAAGTTCCGTGCCCAAACAACAACAAAGTGCCAACTTTTTGGCGCAGTTGTAACCTGCAGTACAGTGCAATACAACACAGGCAAATAAAAGCATTCAACGCAAACAAAATTAAAATAAATAAGTCGAAGAGAGCAGCTCCACTGAACTGTAATCGTGTGGCCGAGTGCCCGTAGGCGCACATCCGTTTAATGTTGCCGATAATATGGCGCGCAAAAGCAACAAAAAAGCAGCCATCGATAACAATGCAGGGCAACACTAACGGCGCAGATGCAACAATGGTGCGGAAAAAGCGCAAATAAAAACAACAATGGACAATGGAAATGGCGCTTGGCCAGATGGCGCACCACGCCGCCGGACGTTCGATTGGCGCTCCACCATGGGATGTTGCTGCGGTGGAGCGGGCGGGCGGGGAACTAGGGCGGCCGGGCTTTGTGCGCCCTATTGATTTATGTTTTTTAATTTAAAATTTCCGCTTTAGTTAACTCCCGCCATAATGGCCATTTTTACTTTGCACGCGCGTGCATACAATTGCTGCATAAAAAATTACACACACACGTACACGCTCGCGCACACTAACGCAAGTGCATGCATGTGTATGTGTGCTTTGTCAATAAAACAACGAAGCATCCGACGAATTTCCCAGCGCCCATAGCAATGGCAGCGCCATTTGTGTTTTGCATTTTCCCGGCTTTTCGCTGTTGTTGTTGGTGTTGTTTTTATGTATATGCAGTATTATGCAACAGGGCGCATCGCTCGCATTTTCAACTGCAAATATGCCTACAAATATAAGCACAAACGAGTACAACAAACATTGTAATGAGCACACCAACTCAACTGACTTTATACTCGTAAATAAATATTTATTAAATTTGTTTTCCATTTTCGTTTTTTTCTCGGCAGATTGGGTCCAATGCCGGGCGGGCATCAACAACAGATGGCGCAAAGTATGTCAACAGGCAACAATACGCTGGGTCACGGCGGCATCGACCGGGGCGGCGGAGTGCCCGGTGGCGGAGGTGGGCCAGGCATGAATGGACCGGGGGGACCGCATTGTCAGATGAGCGGCTCACAGCCGTTGGTAATGCCCGGGTTCCCGTTGCGTAACTCACACTCAGCGCATACACCGCACTACTCGCCCTATTCGCCATCCAGGTAAGTTGCCGCTTTACGTATTTTTATTTTTTGGTTTTTTTGTTTTTTATTTTTTATTTTGCAACGCAACGCAGTTAAGCTGGAAAGTAACCAGAAAAAATATCGCACGAACAGACGGTTATGTATTGAATGGGCGAAAATTCAAAAGTAAAGAGAATAGGACATACAAATTTAAAACTTTAAATGGCCTTTGTGTTAAAAGTACGAATAGCCGCTGAAATACTTATTTTTGATTCCACATTAAAATTAATATGACGAAGCTAGATTCTGCCTTAAACCAGTGTCACACGATTGGGAATTTGCCCAAAATTTGGTGTAAATCATATCCCAATCGTGTGAATGAACAAATATTTATTCTTTATTCCAATCACGGAAAATATTTTGTTGTTAAAAATTTTCAATAAAACGTCGCTGTATTGTGCCAATCGTGTGACTACAAACAAAATTGTCAAATCTGTCACGGAAAATCCGAGATGTTTTTTGAGGTTAGAAAAAATCCAGACGTGATGGAGAAAAACGAATTCGGATTCGTGTTCAGCGACCCCAAAAACATATAACAGACTAGGTTTGGTCAAAGGAACCTTTCATCGATTTTTTTTTTTGTGGGCCTGTGTTATTATTAAATATGCCAACAGAGCTTTCATATCGGCTAAACCAGTTTGAATTGAGACCAGTCCGGACTCAAATTCACCGAGAACTCCTAAACTCAACTAGAAGCTACAGTTACAACGGACCTTTGCGAACTTCCTAATCGCCGGGATTAATATGAGCACCACTGATGAGTTGTTCAAAGTCTGTGGCGAAGAGAAGGTCGAGCGTTTATGCCAGCTGTTAAGAGCGCTACGGTCGGCCGAAGTGAATTTTGTGCGAGGCCTAACGAAGTTTTATGTATTTGGATAGCAAAAGCAAGGGCGCTCACGAAGGCAATGAAAGGACCAAACGCTGAGGGATCTGCTTGACCTCGGGTTGAACAATTGACGGAATTTTGCTAGAGCTAGAGGAAGTTGGCGATAGGTCAGCCCAAGCAGCAGCAGAGGAAAAACCAGCTGTCTGGATATTGACGTTGATTTTGTAGTATAAACTGAAATTTGTCATTTTAGAGTAAAATGCAAACCAAAATTTCTTAGACTGCTCCATGTGTCTGTTCAATATGCCTTGAGCTTACTTTAGCTCATTATGAATATGCAGTTCCAGCAAGCCGTAGTTTTTATGGATAATCCTTTAACTTCTCCCGAAATAGAATGAAAACACTTACTTCCTTGCCCAAATGCCGTAGTTCGTGTTGAGATAAAGAATCTTGAATACTCCCATATATCTAATGATTTGCACTCTCCAATACGTTCCAAATTTCAAGAGCGATAAAAGAACACTTTACGATTTGTGTTTTAATTTTGAGTTTTGGCTCTTTGGAGGTGTGATCGTTTCTTTCATTCCTACTCTTTTCCAGAATTCTCTTTCTGCCTTTCTACGTGCAGCTTCGAAAATTTCCGGTAAGTCACAGATGGGCCGACACTTTAAAGCATTCGTTCCAAAATCAAAGAATGTCGTTTGCTTCCATGTCGAATTCGCTTGCAAGCAGGCAGATTACCAAAGTATCAACGCGCCACAAAATACAGTCATAAAAAGCAATAATTGTCGGAGGCTATGGCCAGCACGTGACGATGCATAAATTAGCGAGTTGAAGACAGCTGCCTGGCCAGCAGCAGCAAGTGGGTCACTTAAGTGTTCCCGTGTTCGATATATCTATCAATTTGCATTGTCCATTTTCCACTTGTAAGCCTGTTTGCATTGTTGTTCGAAGATCGTCGGAATTCCAAGTATTCCCGTTAACATAAAGGAGTTGCCAGCAAGCTGACTGCGAAGTGCTGTGATCGCTTGAGGCAAGCACTTAACGCTTCTTGCAACAGTGTGAAGGTACATATGTACGTGTGGTGGACCCGCTTAAGCACTACTTATGCCATTTGTTGCGGTGCTCAAACATGCCACCAAATAAATAACTTATTCGCCTGCCAATTTAGCAGTCTGTAATAAATTTGCCTATTTGCCGAAGCGGCAGCAGCAATTTGTGCCAGCCGCTGTTGATGCTGCAAGCCCATGTCAGAGCTACTAATTTGCATTTGAAATTACGATGCAAAAAATCGTAGAAAATTGTCAACACTTTCCGCTTATTGCCTGCTCGCGGGCACTGGAAGTTGCGATTGTGGCAAATGGGGCAAATGGCACTGGCATTTCACCGCTGTAAACATAAATTACAGAAACAACTGCGCCTAGAGCGAGAGCCCATCCCAGTAATTCAGTCAAATGACATGTGATGGAAAGCAGCCACAAATGGGCGAAGGTGAGGCGATGGGGCACTTAACGCTGTCTACAACTAATGGCCAATTTCCCGTTATGTCAATAGGAAAGCAAGCTGGAGCTAAAGTAGCAGCGACTTCAATAGCCTCAACTTGTAGGAAGCACCAACTAATTCCGATGCTGCATTCAGTCAGTGGTGAATAATGAAGAAGTTTCAATGCAGCGACCCACGCCACGCCACGCCAGGCGGCAGCGTGCCATTCAAATGCACAGTGCGGCACATAAATGAGGTGCGGCAGGGATGCGCATCGCGGCTTGCAGCGGCACGAAATTATTACGTTGCATTAATGTGTTGACAGTGCAAAGTTTTCCGCGTCGCGCATTTTTTATGTCGTCGCCGCCACCCTTCCATCCGGCGGCACCGCGCGCTCAGCTCCGTACAACGTCGCTTGCACCACTCGCATGGATGCGAACGTCAAGAGGTTGCAAATATGATGTGCAACATTTGAAAATGGTTGAAAGCTGCAAAGCAGCTTGTACGCCATGCCACCCACACGCGCGCGCATGCAACTCTGCTTGGAGACAAACTAACGTCGTGGCAAGACAAGGTAAATAGACAAAATGATGAAGTGTGAAAGCGCAACGTGAGTGCGTGCACATGGTGTGGCAAATGGCATAGATAGAGTTGCATGCTGGCTGTGAGGTGGAAAAGGCGTTTGAAAAGTAGTTGGCTGTCGCGTTGTGAGTGGCAGTTAATTGCCATTGGGTGGGTGGTGACAACGGTGGCAATTAATGTGGCAACTTAACGCTACGCAGTGAAGTGGCAGCGTGTAGTGCACCTACGCATTGAGGTATGAGCGGCATGTGATCGGAAGTGGTGGAAAGTTAATGGGATGCCGAAAATGACAGACATTTTAATTTTTAGCTGAGTTTTCTATAAAGGGAGCAATCATATCGTAAAGGATCTGATGGTGAGGAGAAAGTCTGTATGCATTGCGAAATTAGATTAGACCCAAATGGCATCCAAAACTATGGCATAGCAACCGTCTAGGCTTGGTTTGGATTTTTGATCAAAAGGACACAACTTTTTGAGATCCTTTAGTTGCTAAACTCGCAAATTGGAGAAGACTAAACTCTGCAGCAAATTCAAGTTTTTCTTAAATCAATCTTTAAAAGAAGCTGTGTCTCGAACACTGTTCTAAGAACTATCTTTAAAATGCGGATAAATTCAATACAGGTTCGCTTCTAGCCGCCTTGCTTGCTTGTTCGAAATATTATCTCTTTGTTTGCATGCCACTGACTCCATCTTCTTCCGTCTGTATTGCCTGCATGCATCTTAGTTTACTTTGTGCTCCGTTAAGTCCTTCTTAGTTGCGTAATAAAATTCTTTGCCGCTGTAAGCTGGCTGTCTCCGTCGTAAACAGAATCACCTTTGTGAATTGCTCTTTCAGCTCATCCAGTGAGTCAGTCATTCACTCATTCGCTTATTTATTGCGCTTTATGTCTACCATTTAAAGTTGATGTTTTTTGTTAATGTTGTTGTAGTTGTTGTTGACATTGGTATGGGTTACTTTGATTTGTTCGCTCGCTGCCGCATATTCGCCACTACTAATCCTGGCGTACGCGTATTTTTACAGCATTTTAAGCTCTAATTCCACATAAGCAGCAACTTAAGCTGGCGATTCGAGCGGAATCTGAAGCAGCATCAGAATAAGTAAAAGCAAAATTAAATCTGGATTCGTGCAGCTGATGCTGCTGCCAATGCCGATGGCGATGCTGCTGCTGTTGGGTTGCAGGTAATAACTCCAAACGCGCACGACATTTCAGTAACAGTTGCTGCGCCAACCGAACGCATTCTAATCCCGCTTACACCTTAAATATGGCAATTCTAGCTGATGTTCAGATTGTTGCTGTTGTGGCGATAGCTACCGCTCAAGAAATAGCTATTTATGCTGAAACTAAATTTGTGTTTGTAGATGCGCATCAGACGACGACTATTTGCTACCAATGTTGCACAATAAGCCAACATGCAATGTGTCGCAACATATGACAATATCTTTGAAAGTGTGTTTTTACGAAAAGTAAGATTTATTTAAGAATCTTACACAAAGACAAGGCAACAAGCAGTGGCTGCCGCCGAGTAGGAGAATAAAGCGGCGGAAAGCGGAGCATAATGTCAAATGTAGACCCTAAGCCGAGATCGTTAGCAATGCCATCCATTTGGCTAAGACATGGCAATAAGCATAATCAACATAAAAATACATTAAAGAGATACGTGCCACGCGCAACGCACAGTGCAACGTCGTCCCGCTCCACCGCTCCACCGCGCGCTTGTAAACGGTTCGCACGTACATGACAAATGCAACACACTTTCCGTGTTGCAACAACATAACTGCATGTTCTGGCAGCACTCCTCTGAAACACACACACGCACGTTAATAAAACTAAAGCATCACCTCGGCAGTTATAAATCGCTATGTGGCGCTGTGGCAAGCTTCTGCAGGGCGCGGCAATACCAACTGTTACCAGACGTCGATTACCCGTGGCAGCGCCGGTAGCACTGAGCTCCTTGCGAATCCCACTTTAATGTACGTTCGTGCCACATTTGCTGCATTTGTCAGCTGCATGCAAATGCAACGAGGTGTGAACGCAGTGTGAAGGATAAGAAGAATGGCTAGCGCTGCGTTCGAATCTGATCGCGTTGTTGTCGCCGCCGCTTCTTGTTGCGGTTGCGGTTGCTGTCGTTTTTGCAATGCGGTTTAACGCGCAAATGAGAAAATCCGCGTTGCACAAAAATGAAGTTAATAATGATTTGTAATACCGTGACATTGCAACATAGGTACAGCGGGTGACGGTGAGCACTGCAACAGCATTAAAAGTCGTAACGAACATAAAACGGTGGCCACAAAGCGTACGTGGGTGCTGGCTTCCTCATTTCTCATACTTTTCTACCAAGGGTTCATTTCATTTTCTCTTAATTTTTCTTTCCAGTTGATTTCGCTTAACTCGGCGGAGGAATAGTAATGAAATAGAATAGAAAAACAAAACCAATAAGATAGCCGTATAAAGTTTCTTCAAAAGGAATTATTCTTCTAGTTATCAAAAAGAAAAATTTTGTTAATAAAATTGTTAAGAAGTCCTTTTACTTTTTTGTAAGATTCTGATTTGGCACTTAGTGCCCTGACTTATGGCGTAGTTGCACCAGTAGCTCGACTCAAGTGCAGATAGGGCCTTATGCACCTGGTCTCCTGGTCTAGATGGACGATGAAACCTACGCATGTCGAATCGGAGGATTTTTTCACTAGGACGCCATCATCCTATTTAACGAGTTGTATAAGTATATTTGTGTCTACACCTTCGTGAGGCTTGCTCATATATTAGAACTTATAGTTAAACAAAATTTTGTAAAATAAGGAAATTTCCTATAATGCTTGTAATAATTTTTTAGATAGCTTAAATCACGTTAATATCACAAATACCCGTGCATTCCTTATTATAATGAAATTGTAGTCACTCTATGCTAGTACATCAATAGTTCATTGATCTTACTATAAACGTCAACGAAAGTACTGTATATTCGTGAAGTGAATAATCGAGATAAAACAAAAAAAAAATATTTAATTTTCATGTTGCCTGTAGTGGAATTCGAACCCTGACCCTCTCTGGATATCAACAAATTGTGAAAAGTATCTTTCAAATATTGAATTTCCATCAACACCGCAGCACGCGATTTGTACGGATGAACATGTACTATGTATGTATGTGTGAGTTATCACCCTGCAGAAAATCTGACTAGCTCAGAACTAGCGTAGAACTAGAGCTTTTGCCGACAGTTCTAGCTCTAGCTAAATTCCCAAGCAATGCTTTCAATTGTCCAGTTTTACACGGCGATGTCATTGGCGGTGGCAATTGCCGCCCAGTGCATTACTTTGCAACTAGTTTTTAACCGGTTCCGGACAGTTTCTTTTTTGTTTAAAGAAATCGTTTTTAAGATTAGATTTTTTGATAGTTTTTCCATTTTTTCTTTTCTTTTACAGATTCCATGTATCAATCACTCCTTATTATGATTTCACCATGAGCAAAGTTCTTCGCCTTCGCTTCGGAAATTGCTGTGAGCCCGGCCTTGTTGTTTATGACGACAAAGTCAATGTCACTCCAGCAGCATCGCGATTGTCCAAAACCTCGGTTGGTTTCGAATTAGTTTTGCGGGAATCCCAAAATGTAAGCCTGAAGTTCTAGATGCAGCTTCTCTTCATGCTGTCGAAAGTGGCTTCGAATTCAGCGTAGAGGTGGTGTGTGTTGATTTGCAGTCACACTGGTACATCCCAGTCAGTTGGTTCATAAAGAGACTGCATTTCCTGCAGGATCCTGTGATAGTCAGCACACTGGGCTTAACAGCATGCAACCAGTGCTCGACAATCTCTTCACCGCCGGCGTTGAAGAGTTCATCCGATGTTTCGTAGAATCCAGGCGCAATTTTGTTCTTTGGTCTAATTATTGTTCATTATTGCCGTTATCGGCTCTTCTTGCTCTAACTAGTGGAGGAAAGTAAGCATCCTCCCATATTAGCATATTAGCCTCTTAGGCTTAGGTTATGCGTCGTCAAACGCGCCCCGGTGCCGCTGTTCAAAATTGGTGAGAAGTGATCCCTCCATATTTAAAATGAACTCTGGTTATATGTTACCAGATTGCCGTCTTCGTATGTGAAAGGAACATAGTATAAAGATTTTTTTATTGTTTTTGGAAAAAGTTTCAAACGAATTTCACAATTTAAGAATTGACAGCAAGCCTCGTAGGCGCAAACGCTTAGTAAGTTACTCTGATATTTCAAGCTCTTAATATAATGGTCAAGTAATTTAAATTGCATTTTTAATTTACCAGTGGGAGCATCGTTACCAAAGTCTATTGACTGTGTTGAGAGATAATTAAAAGTAACGGCCAATGAAATCTTTTGATGCAACGGTCACACACAGCTGGAAATGGTTTTAAAGCTTTCAAAGCTTTTACCAACCAACCAACCCGGCACATTATTTTTAATCTAATTTTAATCACCACTACAACCGCAACTTAAACTAAAACTACACATAAACACAATTAAGATAATCACTACGAATTACCTCCAGGTCCTGAAACTCCAGCCAAGTCCGTCCTGCCTCTCTAAACACATCGGAAACGGCTAGAATATGTGTGACAACAGGTTTTATTTTGTTTATTTTTAATTTGCCTGTTGCTTTTGCCGCTTCGTTCCTATTATTTTAAACGGACTGTCGCTTATATATGGATATGTACATGTACATACATGCATTGGTACTTAAAAACTACTACATACATATACTTGTGGTCAGCTGATTAAGTCAAATCACATTTTGACTAGGTTTTGATATTTTTCTTTTGTTTATTTAATGTTTATATGTTTTAATAAAAGTTTAGCATATTAACTAACCAGCGCCACATAAATGCACATTTCAAACTTCAATTAATGCGGGAAAATTTATATGGATTTTTTATGCAATATTATTTTACCGATAAAGTAATTCAAATAAGCGGGTAAATCAATTAACCGGGGGACTATTAAGCGGGGAGTACTGTACTTAAATTTAATGAGCTATAAAGCTGCATACCTAAAATTTTTAAAAATTCTGAATTAAAAGTTTTAATTTTCGGGTACAAATGTTGAAGTTTGTTGAACTTCCATAATTTTTGTACACTGAGGGAAAAAATTTTAGAATCAAAAAAACGTGCTAAATTAAAAAAAATACGCATATGAAATTTTTTTTAATTTGAGTATACACATACGTTATAAAATATGTCGTTGTGAAGTGCACAGATGCTTTTTCGTAATTAAGAAGGAAACGAAAAAATTTAATTTTATGTTCCGTCTGATGGTAATTGAGGGTCTGGGTCCTCTTGGCAGCAACCAACAGCCATACATGTAAATGTGTTTTCAAATGTTGAGTTTGAATCAACATCACATCACTTGATTTAAATACGAACATTTTTAAACGGTAATCATTTTTATTCTTACAACGAGTAATTTTTTTCTAGTGTACGAAGTTGGCAATTCGGATTTATGTGACGCTGGTTAGGTAAAGTGCTAGACTTTTATAAAAAAATATAAACATTAAATAAAGTAAGAAAAAATAGCCAAAACTTGTCCAAATGTCAGTTGACTTAATCAGCTGACCACAAGGGTATGTATGTACACACCAGGGTGGTCCAAAAAAGTAAAGTCGGAATTTTATTGCTTCTATGCCGAAAAAATTATAACTCTGTTTCTTATTTTGAAATAAAAAAATATTTAGAGGTCGCTCAAAGCGCTCAAAGTTTTCCATGTACTTTGTATGAGGAAAAACCATTTTCACGTAGTAATGGTATAAAAGTCTTGAGAATCTATATTCTTCGATCGGAAAACTTTTTTCTCTCTTCAGAAGACTGAGTAATATTACCCAATTATATATTTAACCATTCTTTATTATTAACTACATTTTATAGGATCCCTCGAAACCCAAAAAATTGCAATATGGGTACCCATAGAAAATCATTATTACATATTAAATAATTGTAAAATAAACAATTGGGTATTATTACTGGAAGTCTTCTGAAGACAAGCAAAATTTTCGAATCGAAGCGCTAAATATTTTTTGAGTATAAAAAATAGGTGTATAACTTTTTTTGGTATAGAAAAATCTTAGGGGGTGAGAGCACTAGAATTCCGACTTTACTTTTTCGCATGCGTTCATATATACCCTACAGGGAAAACTACCAGTTTTCGTTTCTGCCCAACTAGTTCAAGTTCTATCCGTTTGCAGTGTTGGTATTTGTAACAAGGCGATGTCCCACGAGATGTCGGCGAATTCATACCCCGTGTAAGGAACAATTATGCCATTTTGCATTGCATTAGAGTGTCCTTACTCAGGTCCGAGGTTGAAGTCCTTGGGCAGAAATTTTTTTCAAATTTTTTCAATGTATTTTTTGTTTAGGTTTTTTATTGTAATTTTGAAATTTACTTTTTTAAGAAGAAAAATATATATTTTTTTCAATTAATTTAATTTTTGTGGCTCAAATTTTATTTATTTTTTTTTCAAATGAAATTAGATTTTCAAATTTGTTATTTATATTTAAATTGAAATAATTGTATTGTTTGTATTTTTATTGACTGGTTTGGTTTTTCACTGCAGGGTATGAATATACATATGTACATATTTGTGTGTGTACTCTATTTGTCTAATTTGACGGTATTTTTCTTTCCCATTCTTGCAGGTTTCACATAGATAAGCGCTGCCAGCACCGATGTTCCTGGAAATGTTTAAGTATCGCCTTAATACTAGTAACAGTCGTCCTAAGCGCCATGTTGACCTACTTCGCAGGTGAGTTTCGTAGAAGTTCCTCGCACTTATCTCCATACATACATACATATGTATATATGTGTTTGTGTACTTATAAAGCGCATTAAATATGTGTGTGTGTGTGTGTGTAGAAATAATTAAAAGTTATTCTATCGAAGTAGAAAATGTGTATGTAGTAGTAAAATGAACGCAGTGCTTGTCTGTTGTTCTATTGAGGGAGTGCGCGGGAAAGGGTGAAAGCGCTTTGTTTGGAAACATCCTGAAGCTGTGTTTAAGTGTTTGGTGGAGTGCTTAGTTTGATCGACGTACACGCGCCTTTACAACTCTGCAAATTTATTTAGCTGGGCATATTTGGTTTGCAAGCGCAAATTAGTTTTCTTACGAGCTACGCAATGTCCATCGTTCGTTTTCAGCAGCGTCTATTTAGACAAATTGAATATTTTCGCCGTTTATCAGAATTAAAGCTCAATGTCCTCATACATATAATAATACTATCTATATGTATTTACTTGTATATGGTAGCGTCATTAGCCCAGCACAGATTCGCCTTAATATCCTCGGATAATGCCCTGTGACGTTGCTGCATAACGAGGCGAGCGTAATGGCAGTCATTGTTGAACCTTTTTCCACAAGCTTTTGTTACATTAATTAAGCGAAAAGGGATTTAATGACATTAGCAAACACAGAGATACTCAAATAGACAGCTCCTCAGATACTGTCAGCTGCTCAGCTGCGCAAATGTACATACATACCCTGTGCGGAAAATCTCTCGTGCGCTTCCAGTACATTTAGACCCAGTAGTGGTTCGCGATAAATGTCTTTTGCATGCAAGCAACTGGCGAATTTAACATGGCGATGTCCTAGGAAGTGTCAATTGCCCCCCGCTGCATCCCTTTTTCGATAGTTTCGAACTAATCCTAAATTCTATAGTTCCGAACCAGTTCTAAAATCGACAGACGAAAGAAAAAAGTATCATGATTTTTCAATCTTTTTGGCTCTTCCGTGTATGCGATGTTAAGTTATTTTGGAAGAAATGTGTTTTCAATTTGAAATTAAATTTGTTTGAATGATTGTAAGAAATGTACGTTTACATACCTTTAGCTGTAGCTGAGTTTTCAGAGGTGCTCGCTGTTATTTCTTAGATTCCAGACGGTCCCAGGATGTTGAAATGTTAACACACATTTTAGTTTTGTATTACCAAGCTATGAAAAAGCATCTGCGAAGCACAGAATAGAAGCGTATTTGAACGAAAAAGCCACCGAACACATATCTATGTAAAGTAAACAAGCCCCCTGCTGCATACCTTATTCGATAGTTCCGAACTTGTTCAAAATTCGACAAATAAGATCTAGTTCGTTCTGCATCCCTTTTTCTATAGCTCCGAACCAGTTCTAAATTCGTCACATTAGATTTAGATTTCTAGTGAAAAAAACTGAAAAAAATTAGTACCACTTTTCGCCGATTTTGTACTGGTGGGGATCTATTTCCTATCGGACTAGTTCCTTTTTGACGACAAAGACCTAGTACGGAACTAGAAATTTGATTCACTAGTCCGCGGTTTCCCTGCAGGGTACATACATAAGTACCTTCATACATATCAACTGCACACATCTTCCACCTGAGCTGAGGAGTGTGCATAACTATGTATGTATGTATACAACTATAGAATAAAGAGTAAATTCGCATGTGCAAATGTTTGTATGTGTTTGTTTGTAGACTATGCAAACTGGCATCATTTTAGGCTAATGTAATGTAAACACTTCATATGAGGTGCCGCTGCTGCTGTTGCCTGCGATGTTTCACCCTGTTTGTACAAAACAAACTTTGAACATCTCGACTTGTGTGAATTTGTGCGTGAGTGCGTATGGGTTTGTTTTAGAACCATACTGAATTAATAGTTGGTGTATTCAAATACATACTTATAATACAAGTTCTGTTTAGCTTTAAGCGATTTCAGGATTTAATTTACCACCCAGACCCAGCGAAGGAGGTAAATTATGAATTCCTAGAGAGTATCTTAAGTGGTTCTTTTTCGCACGGACCCTATTCCCTACTCTGCTCGTAAGTATGGAGTCAATCCACGCTACCATAGACTGCTGGCAGTTTTCTGGTTATTGCCACCGCCCTGAAATTAGTGAAGGCTCCCTCAATGTCCGTTTAGCCTGCTAGTATGTATTACTCAAATGCGAATGAATTTTCGATTGTAGTTACTACCCACTTTCAATAGTAATCTTTCAACAGATATACTGCAGATGATAGAACTATACCTTATGTGCAGGTCAGCAGCTTTTCAAGTGCATTTGCGACAAATGGTAAAAGGCTTATCTGCCCGATGTCCGTTGCCTTAAAATAATTTTAAGTGAATATGTATCTGATTTTGCAGCCAATTGTTTGGCTATAATAATTTAGATTACCTGGCTTAGGGATAAATATAACCCGCACCTCCCAAAAGGGGTTAGATACCTATCTCCTAAGCATCTTGCGTGGTTTTTTGAACATGCCAGGCATCACAAGACGCCGAAAGTTTAGCTGGTGCTACCTGGAAAGTGTGTACCCATTACAATCTTAAGATACTTCTAGGGAGAGAGCGACCAAAAGCTACCTACACGCAATGTACTATCCAGCGCCACATCCGACCTAGTTTCTTTCAGAACCTTGACACCTCATTTGTGCTCTCCCAGGTTCAATAAAACTCAAGCGAGGACTAAATATTTCTGTGCAGCTATAATCCTACTTTTGGATATGTTAAATTTGGCTCTATATTCGATCATCCGAGCTTAATGCTGGGACGGGACAGTTGGAAGCGATTACTCGATACCATTGTTGTATCAATTATATCAATTTTAATTTCACTCCGAAAGAAGGAGTGTTGCTTGCTGAAAGGAAAATCTGGAGAAAGCTGTAGCCCTATTTTGATGGCTTAAATACATACGAGTATGTATTGTATGTATTGTAAGAGTGTGCAGGGCTTGAAAAGACTTCCTCGTTGCTCAAGTAAAGCTTGTGTGGAAATAATTTGCTTGTCTGTTTACACCCTATCCCCATACGCAGTCCCAATATTTGACCAAGCAAATGGCTTTGACTCGACAAAGTTCCAAAATAGCTTCCATAAAATATCTGGCAAACGCACTCCAGCAGAAATTCATTAAGACAGGTTACATAAATGCTTGCACATACTCCCCCTCTGTGGTATTTACGGTTGAATGTAGCATTTTTGCAATATAAATGGTGGTTGGTATGAGAGTAAAGTGGCAAGATTTTTCCTCCATCAATTACTCCGCGGTCACAAATGGAGAATCACTGCAATGCGAAAAGCACTGAAAGTTGAACAGATAAATGGCAGTTGTGGTGAATATCAGTAAATATGGTAGCAGATAATAAATTGTAAGCGAACCCCAAATAACCGGTAAAGAGCACAGCAATCAGTCGGTGAGGAGCGAGGGCACACTGAATTTCGGATTCTGTCTGCTATTAGAAAACAGACAGCGAGCTGAAGGTGCACGTATTGTGTGGCAAGTATAGTTAATGGTTGTTGGGGAGCGGTTAGCAGCAGTCGAATAGCTAGTGCGTACAGCTGGTGGAAGTAGTACTGCGTTAGCAAGATGGAACCGATGCTGAAAGCCACACCAGCAAAATGTGCACCTGTGCGTCGGTGTGATTGCGTGGATGTATGTACAAAGCATAAATATTCCCAAAGTACTTTTGGCTGATGAACCCGCTGTCGCTGCGTGCTGCAGAAATTCAGTGGTGCATTTTTACGTTGCATGCCCCACCAGTCGCGCTGCTTCCACTGTGTGTGTTGTTTTGGCTTAGAGCACCCTCGCAAGCACTTTGGCAAATTTTCGGATGTACATATGTATGTGTTACACAACCATGATTTGTTTCGGTGTTTGTGTGGATGCATGCCCCAGCCAGGATGGCTTACGAACAAAGCTACACGAGAAGAAGAAAATCCCCAACTGTTGCAGATGTATTGGAAACTTGGTATGTATCTGCTGCG